AGCCAAGAATGAGTACCAAATAGTCATTCAACCACCCCCAGAAGAAAGTGAAGAACCAGAGGAGAAGATTGAAGAAGACATGTCTGTTAGGATGGCCAGAGAAAAGGCCGAGGAAGAAGCACGGCACCAGGCACTGCTTAAGAAGAGATCAAAAGTGTTGCAGAGGGAGCTTCCAAGACCTCCTAGCGCATCCCTGGAACTAATTAGAGATTCTTTGATGAGGACTGATGGAGACAAAAGTTCCTTTGTTCCTCCTATAATTGAACAGGCTGATGAAATGATAAGAAAGGAGCTTCTGTCGTTGTTGGAGCATGACAATGCTAAGTCTCCACTTGATGACAAGGCAAATAAAGGGAAGAAAAAGGGTTCCAAGCGCTCTAGCAATGGATCTGTTCCCAGTATTGAACATTTAGAATGGAAGTCAAACTAGAACCTTTCTTTTGCCCGAAACTCCAACGATAACTGAAAATAGAAAATCATTTTAGCTTCCAGGATCGAGAGCATCCATTTGATTTTGGCCTTGTTATGTTTCGTAACAGGAGTATAGGAATACTGAAGCGCTTCGGATGCAGATGGAAGTCCAGATGCAGCTCCATGAACAACTTGAGGTATGCTACTGGTAACTAATAATTAATTCGTTCCAGTATCAAATTATGAAGGCTAACAACTCAAGGCACGGCAATGGCTTCTTGATTATATAATTTCTTTTCCCAGGTCCCAATGTCACGGGATCGGAGCTTTTCTATAATTAGCTACTTTAACATTGTTATGTGGAGTTTTCTATTTTCCGAACATGTCCCGTTTTTAATTTTCGAAACAAGTCACATTGAATCCTTTCAGATTGAGTTGATGCAGATAGTAAAACTGGCGTCCATGCAGGGTTATGCGCTTATATGAATGCACATATATTTCTAATGCGGGATACATTATTCTCCAGATTCAGAGAAATTTGCAGCTGCGAATCGAGGAACAAGGAAGGTATCTGCAAATGATGTTCTAGAAACAAAAAGAAGTCGAAAACAAAAAAGGTGTGGCGTCCTCTTCTACCTTGGATGACGCTCCCGCACCATTACCAGGCTCAAATCATCCGCCTTGCAACAATGATAAATCAGATTCAAAAGCTTTAGAGCAAGGTCACTCAAGAACTGGGATTGGTCCAGTAAATGCTAGTAGTAAAAATGAAAAAACTCGAAGGCACCGGAAACAGAATCAACTATCCATGTCGAGAAGAACGATGATGAGTCCGGTTTCCCGGTCCTGAAACGAGCCAGAACTGAGAATTAGCAGCGTTGTTAGACTTCACATCTGATAAATAATCTTTTGTAGACAAGCATAGCTGTGCTCCCGGAGATGTTAAAACAGATAAACCAGGAGTTGTTGAAACATTAGATCTTTAGATCCAGCTTTATGTGTAATTGCACTAACATTTGACAAGATCTAATAAATTATTTCATGCCTGAAAGAATCAGTGTCATGATCATGGAAAAGAGTCTTAGAATTCCATGTAAAAAATTCTTATGCCACACATGAGCATGATAGTAAGGAAAGTTGAGTAAGTCTACAACAACATGCTTAATTAGGACATTATTTGTGAAGTTAATTCATTATTATGGATCTCCTTCAAGTTTTCGAACTTTAAGAAAATTTGATATCTACATGCATACATCTTCCATTCCTGGAAAGAATTAATTCATTTGTGAGTTTTCTCATCCCAATAATTCATCGCTAGTCCATCTTTTCACACAAGTTGTCTTTATTTGTTCGTATTGATGGTGGTTGCAGTGGCAGATGGCCTGAAGGGGCTTCGATGAATGTTAAAATTGTCATCAACATCAAATGAATACATGTTTCCTCACTCTCTTGAAATTAATCAAAAAGAAAATATTTCCAGATTAAGAGAAGATTAAGTTCAAAATAAATGACAACAATAGTATCAAATCAAATTAAAATGTGCTTACCTGCAAAGACTTGTTTTCAATGACGTTGTCTTCTTAAATTTTGCCCTTTTGAGCGGGGACGTAGATATTCAAGTATCTGTTCCGGAGGTTCAACCTAAACAACAACAAAATGTAATATTAGGCTTTCATCAAATAGTTAGAAAGAAAGCATTTTTAATTATAAGACTATGTAAACGTTAGAATTTACCTCTGAAATTATGCACTCAATATGTGAAATGTAATTGCGTTCTTTGCAGTGATAAACGTCATGCTCTGGATTTCTTTGTGTTTCACATGTATCACAGTAATATTTTCCAGAATCATCTTCAGTCACAGTTGTGAGTACAAGTGGATGCAAATGACGTCTGTGTTTGACGACGAATGGGAGTGAAATACATTCAAGATGAATGTAAAACTTACACTCAAGGCATCCCCACAGTGTTCTCACAAGCTTGACCACATGCTTTACGTCTGGGAGATTCATCACCGAAAAATCCTTTCCCCAAATACAAAAGACAGCGATCGGCATGGCAACCATGTTTTACCTCACGAAACTGATATGTTGCGCATGAATAGTGCATGCCGATATTGCATGTCAAACAACTGAACACTAGGCCTTCAACAACCTCACTGCAGGCACAACAATGTTTTTAGGAAATAATGGAAATGTTTGAAGAGGATGTTGCAGGTGGAACGAACTCTGAACTTCCTCCAACATATCCTCGATGCAAGATTCATGCAGAAAGAATTCACAAGGAAGGCAAGCGTATATTATGCCGGAAAGGCGTTGCCTGCATGCCTTGCAAGTATTCATAATCTTTGGGTCAACATGCAAAATATTAATTTTGCATCGTGTAAGTTGATGAAAGTGACTGAAATGTGTGATTGTGGTTTTGGTTTCTTTACTTGTCGGGTTTCATCGTTTGAAGTAGCACATCTGGGGTCAAGTTTGAATGAACAAAGTTTACAGGTATAAGATGAACCAATGCATAGCTCTTCACATCCATCACACACAAATTTTTGTTCTGATTCCTCTAGCATCAACGGGTGAGGATGGAAAGAATCTCTTTGTATCTAGAAAAGTGAAAACAGAAACCGTTATAAATATGGATCAATTATATATTTTTTAATTACATTACTAACCATTTCATGGTGCACCTTCCCTGTCATATTTTAGACGTTGATCGCCAGAACTCTCTTCCTTTCTTTGAGGATCAAACAACTTCTCTATCGTAGGCTCAAGCACCTAAACACAAAGTTTAGTTTCAGACATATATAAAATAGCCAAATAAGAAAAGAGCTAGTTTAATTTTAACTATACGATTTCAGTTGTTGGTGACTTACCTCATAAAGGACACAATCAATATGTGCAATAAAATTGCATTCTTCACAGTTATAAAATTGAAGGTCTGGATTCCTTTCGGTCTCACATATCGCAACAATAATCTCCCGAGTCATCTTCAACAAATGGACTTACAAGCGTAAGTGGATGCAGGTGGTGTTTATGCTTAAAAGTAGGCGGTAGTGGAATACATTGAGGATGTACATCGTAGTCACATTTTCTGCAGCTGAAGCAGGAATCTTTGCAAATTTTACCACATTCCTTGCAGGATATGTTGTGGATAATGCTTTTCCCGAGTTGTAGAAGATTGTGAGGATAACAAGTATGCTTTATAGCACGAGTTGGGTACTTTGCACATGAAGCGTGCAAGTCAACATCGCATTCATTGCAATAGAAGCTGAAACCTTCTATTGTCTCTCGACAAGCATAACATCGAACTTGTACCCTTGCATCTGAATAAGGGAATAGTCGAGGGTGAAGAATATGGTGCGGGTGAAAGGGGCTCCTCTCAACATGCTCCGGCATCTCATTCATACATGATTCATGGATGAGAAATACACAAGGAAGGCAGACATACACATAAATTAGTAGAGTTGTCCATCGGAGCTCTTGATTGCATGCCACACTTCATTTCCTTCCAGAGTTCTTTCTCCAGCTGGGTCGTCGGAGAAAACAAGCAGCGTTTGAGTCGATGTGGGTGGCAGAAATGGTGAATTGGGCGATCCTCCTCCTCAGCACGCTTAGCTACCTCATTCTCATCATTAAAAACAGCCACAGCGCATCTGAAATCAAGCTTCAACTCACAGTGCATGCAGCTGTAATAGATGAAAGCAACCGTCCATCTTCTACATGCATCACACACAATTAGGTCCAACAAATTGAATCTGAGTGGATGGGGGTGAAAAGTGTGTTTATGGATTTGAGGCGGCAATTCAGCGCATGATTTGTGCATCGCAAGTTCGAAACATTCTCGACACAAATACGCCGGACCAACAATGATATCCCAGCACCCCACGCAAGAAATCGTGTCTTTCTCCTCCACCTCCACCTCCACAAAGCTTAGCTTATGATGGTGGCTAAAATGTTGGAACTCCATTTTACAGGACCAAAACAAAAAATAAAACGACTAATATCTCGAGAGGATGATTTGGAGGTTGAAAGATGAAAATTTTATAGTTTTAACAAGTAAACTACTTTTCCCGAGTGAAGAAGAGATACGCATTTGCTTTCTTAATTTTGGAATCACCCAGGAAAAAAAAAAGGCCAAAAGCTTACTTCAGAAGATTGACTTTCAAAATTCTTTGCTTAGAAAACCTGTCCGATCCCTCTCTTGCTTTTGAATCCAAGCAAAGTGTTATTGAATGCAAAGGACGATCCGTTTATTATTCCAAACGTAACTCAAAACTATGCTTTAACTACTACAAATGTTATTCTTTTACGTAGTGGCATTAATCATTTAAGAAAATAACAAACTACAAAATGCAGAAAATGTTTAGAAAATGCTGAGCTCCAAATGGTTATAAAATTAGTAAAATAGTGTTCAAAAAATCATTTAAAAGAATATGGTGCTTCTTGCGGTTACATCCAAAGTCATCAACATTTGTTACTAATTACATTAAGGTAATGAACAATTCAAAGATACTAAACTATAATAGTTTAGATTTGTAAATTTCAATTCAAAGATTCCGATCAAGTTGCGGTCCAAAAAATTATGTTAAATTTCAGAAGCTTCATCTTACGTTACAAAAATCCCACAGGTAAATTACATACACTTTTCACCTTCCTCTTCTACCTGAAGGAATGGTGGATTGAATGAAAGCTGTATGATGGCACCATAACCATATTTAGAGAGACGGGAAAATGTGGGAAATGGCTCTCAAATCTTGAATCCAAATGACCAAAAAAAATCGATCATCGAGGACCACGACTGTCAATCTCTTCTTTGAGGAATCGAGCCACGAGGTCTACATCCATGGGTGGCCTTTTGTCACTTAAGATGCTACACAGGGAATGTAATTCTTCAGGGTTTGCCTTCTTGAATAGACCTCTGAGTAGTGTGTCTACTTCACCGGGCAAGGGACTGCTCCAAGGAGGCCCTGCATTATCTTTTTACCCGGATGTTCTAAGTACGTTGTCGCCATTAGGAGGGGGGTGAGAATGTTGTAGAAACTGCACTTGAAGCCGTGAATAAGGCCGAGAGTCCCAATACTCCGTACAAACTCGATTGCGATCAATTGCCTCAATGGCCTGGTTTATGTTTTAAGCATACGGTTAGAGACAATCCATCAAGGGAGGGAGAGAAGCAGTTAAAACAAACCAGTTAGCTGAAATTTTTCATATCAACTGCAAAGCAGCTAACTTCTATATGCGATGTTAAAATTCAATAGTTTCCCCCAGGCGAAATATCAGATTGTATTGGTATGGCCAAACTTTTGAAAACCAATAATAAAATGGTGGGAAAATGGAGGTAGAGGTTACAAAAACATAATCTACTAACCTGAACAATTTCCAGTGAAGAAAAACCAAACATCTCAAAGCCATCAAGGCTGCCGGTAGGCTGCAATGGTGGGAGGTTGGTCTTTCCTTGTCTATGTTGCTTCACTATCTCTTGATTCACTTTCTCCCGCACGGGCCGCACCATCTCCCAGCATCTGGCAGCTGAAACATGAACGAATACTTCACTGGGGCAGTGCTCCACGGATACCTGAAACCAAATCAACATTAAGGCCATGCATACCACCATGACAACATTTTTCCGACATTATATGATACAAGATTGAAGCATGAAAACGTGGGGGGGGGGGGTAGTTAATAAGATCGTGGTACAGAAACATAGTTGATAGAATAAAATTTTCAATTACCATGAACAGAGGTCCATCCCTCTCTGCATCCAAAATTTCTGAGACATAGTAAGCCATATTTGTTGGATCTAAAACACTAAAATACCTAACCCGGCTCTTAAATACTGCATTCATTAGAACAAATGAGTAAGTACATCCGGCTGTCCGTACTTAGCATATTGACATTATAAACAACAATGCAACAAACCTTTTGGGAAAATGGCCTGGCTGTTACACCATAACTTCCCAGAGAGCATAGCTCCAAATTCCAAAGGCTCAACATTACAGTTGATCCTACGCACTACCTTAGCAATGCGAGGACCTTTCTGCCGGACGTTTCTGTCCAGATTATTTTGAGAGCAAGATGGCCTTTCTACATTACTTCTCGTATTGTCAATTAAATTTGCCGAGGCAATGGTTCCCACCTTCTCATGTTTATCCTTGTCAACTTTTTCACCTCCCAAAGGCAGCAGATGCCGAACGTTGCTTTCAACAGTCGATGGTTTATTCTTGTTATCATCCATCTCTGTGGTATTAGAAGAATCCTGAACACCTTTACCAGATTCTGTAGTGGCAGATTGTAAATGAAAAGAAAAATTCTGGTGATTAGATCCAACCGATGTGATACTGTTTTCAGCACTCATCTTTCATATGAGAATAATCAGATGAGCAACTAGTCCTCCGCACATCAGGGGAAACGGCATCCTTTTGATTCATAACCGCAGCATCAGTTAGAGGGGTAATTAAGATAGCCTCATTCTTGTAATTACATGTGCTTGCTTTTTCACCAGATGGTGCCAACCTCATGGAGTCTTCTGAATGCTCTGTGACAAAATGTTCTTTTGGCCTTTCCGAAACTGCTTTTGCAGGTTCATCACCTTCATCATCACTAAGAAGAATGGTATTATTATCTCGTGGAGCTGAAGCTTTCTTCACTCTACTTGCTGCAGTAGTTTGACCTCCAGGCATGCTTAAGCTTGAACCAGAAATAACTGATTCCCCTTTCTTCAACTTAGAATTTGAATCTTTTGATGGTAATGCAGCCTCTGATAGTTTATTTCTTTGTAGCAATAACATCTGAGCAGAAATTTGAGACAAAATCAAGGCTTTGTTTGTCGACATATCTTCTCCTGGTAGTTCTTTGGAGGAAATGACTAATGGTTTTGGTACTTCTTTGGATATTCCTTCCAGGGTATGGGGTAACCTACAACCTATATTGTCCTTAGTTACATATGAACTCAGGGCCAGCCCAAGGTCTAGTCCTGCGCACCTATATACAGCACTTAGTTTTCCTTCCACTGCTTCAACAAGGATATTTAATTCATTTATATCATATCGAAATAGGAAAATCGTGGCACCTCCACCACATGAACAGAACTGCTTTGCGTGTCTCAAGCATGCATATCTATCAGGGGAGCAATGACAACCTGCTGCAGAAAGGTGCAAATCAAAAAAACATATACTGCATTCTCTCGCAGGTAGCATCAAAATTGCTCTCCATTTTCACAGCCTGAGAGGAACTGCAAACAGTTCCCCTGCTTAGACGCTCCATCTCAACTCGTGTCTGTAGGAAATAAGCATATATAAAGTCGGTCAAAATCAACCAATATAAGCATTGCTTATATGCTATAAGTTTACTAAATAATTGTTGCAAGACTCTAGTAAACATGAATTCTATTTATGAATTTGAAATTAAATTAAGTACTAGATATAATTTATTTTATCAACATAAACTTGACTTCAAGTAGTTTAGCAATTAAATACTAAATCCAAATCCAGGGGTAAATTAATATTTTGTACAAAATGAACTTTACGCATGCACAAACAGCATTATGAGGTTGTGTCTATGTGCACATATACAATAAGCATGGATCAAACATGCATGAATATGCACATAAATATTTAGAGCTCTAATCACAAGCTTCTTACATTATTAGAGATTTGGGATCAATGATTCTCTAGAGATCAGACCAATCCAAAACCACTTAAAGAATTTATCAAACATTAAATTTGAATCAGACAAGAAATTTTTTTTTTTTTGATAGGAATAGTAGGCCTCACTAAAAACCCCCTTCATGATTAACGGAACTTGAAAATAGTTCCTTAATCAGCGGAAGGAGGAAAAGAGTGTCCTAGGAGTTCATTAATCTTAAAACATTACAAAGTAATACAATGTCTAATCTCCCTCTAGAGATAAAAAGCCAAAAAGAACCAGCCCTTAACAGAACATAATACTCAACCAATACCAGCCTTAGCTAGAACATCCGCCTCTATATTGGCTGTTCTACTAACCCATCTAATAAGACCTTCATAAACACTAAGCTTTTGAATAATTTCCTTAACAACTTGAACATAAACGACAGGACAAGAACCAACATCCTTGACCCAATCAATTGCCACCTTACTATCACTCTCGATAATCAATCTCTCTTTAAATCTGTGGCGAATAGATTCATAATAAAATAACCCCTTTAGGATAGCTTTCAATTCCATCAAAGTTGGAGGTCCCGGACCAGCAGGGTCTTTGAAGGAGCCGAGAATCGAACCAGAACTATCTTTCAGAACACCACCTAAACCACTCCTCTTCCAATCACTAGAAGTAGCCGCATCCACATTAAGTTTAATAAAACCCTCTGGAGGAGGGGACCAAGGAACCTTAGTTGAAATCCGATTAGTATGAGACGAGCAAGAATCCACTAAGGACGGGTCGGCAATAAGAGCATCCTTGGAAATAGAAATCTGAGTTTCCCTAGCTAGAAACCATGAAGCAAGCCTGCACCTAGCTAGATAGAATATTTCTGCTCGATCAAACTTCCCTCCTTCAAACACTATATAATTCCTAATTTTCCATATTGTCCATAAGACCACTCCAGGGATAAATGACCACATCAGAGAGTTGGTCTTTAAGTTAGTCCATGCTACTAGGAATTTTTTTGCATCTTCATGAAAAACAGACTGAAAATTCCAATAACCCATGAATTTAGTCCATATTGGCCAAACAACCGAACATGAAAAAATAGATGAGATGAAGACTCTTCTTCTAGATTACAAAAGGACACATAGAATCATTTAAGCCCTGAACACCTCTCTTAACCAGAGCTGTCTTCACTGCCAGCTTCTTTAAGATAACTTGCCAAAGAAAAGTCTCCACTCTTGGAGACAGCAGGCCCCTCCAAACAATAGATTTCCAAAAATTAGCTTCCTCCAAATCAGAAATACCCGAATAATATAGATTGGCACATGATTTAACATTGAAAACCCCTTCTCCATTCCCCTTCCACAACAGTCCATCAACCGCATCAGTAGAAACAGAAAAATCTGAAATAACAGCCATCAAGTTTGACCATTGTTCAAATTCCCAGTCATTCAACTCCCTTCTCAACTGGACGTTCCAAAACCAGCCCCCAGAACTGTAATCCCCAAACTGAAATAATCTTCTAGTTTTGTTCACTGCAATAGAGAATAGTCTAGGGAACATGACCCTCAAAGGATGATCCAATGCCCAATTGTCTTGCCAAAACCGAATATTCCTCCCATTGCCAATTTTGTAGCTATAATTGCTTCTGATACTACAGCCCATCGAATCAGCTTTAAAATGATTATTCACCAAAGATCTCCATATCCAAGAAGATTTAGGAGAAACCTTACCATCAAGCTGCATCAATGAAGAATCCAATTTGTATTTAGTGCAAATCATTTCCCTCCAAACCGCCTTCCTCTCAATAGCAAACCTCCAAGCCCACTTTTCCAATAAAGCCCTATTCATCGTATTTAAATTAGGAACTCCCAATCCTCCTTCAATTTTTGGTTTACAAACGCTGGACCAGCTTACCCAATGGATTTTCTTTCTCCCACCTCCTCCACCCCATAAAAAATTTGACATAATAGAGTTTAGGGTCTTGTATACTGAAGCTGGTACCTTAAATAATGACAAATAGTATATAGGAAGTGAACATAGGACTGATTTAATCAAAACCAGCCTGCCCGCCAGTGACAAAGAAGAGCCTTTCCAGCCTGCTAACCTCTTATTGAAGCTTTGAACCACTGGATCCCACAGAATGTTAGAGTTCCTGTGTGGACCAAGAGGGAGTCCCAAATATTCAGAGGGAAAATAACCCACTGAACATCCAATCGTAGCTGACCAATCCTTAATTTCCTCTTCCCTTAAATTCACCCCAAACAATTTGCACTTCTTCAAGTTCAACTGAAGTCCAGAAATAATCTCAAACACTCGAAGCACCCTCTTCACATTCAAGATCTGTTTTTTCGACGCACCACAGAATATTATAAGGTCGTCAGCAAATTGTAGATGTGTTAAATTAAAATTCTTCTCCTCATTTCTAATCATCAAACTCGAAAAGAGACCCCCTGAAACAGCTTTAAGTATCAATAAATTCAATAGTTCCCCAACTATATTAAACAACAACGGAGACAAAGAACAACCTTGACGAAGACCCTTAGCCATTGGGATTTCCTCGGTTGGAACCCCATTCACCAAGACTGAAACAGTTGCTGAAGTGATGCACTTCGAAATCCACCCTATCCATCTAGAACCAAATCCCATTTCCTTCATAATTCTGAACAAAATAGGCCAGTCAAGAGTATCATATGCCTTCTTGAAATCAGCTTTAAAAACACGTCCTTTTAAACCATTCTTCTTCCAAAAGTCAATCCCTTCATTGGCTATAAGGGAACAATCCAAGATTTGTCGACCGGGAATAAAAGCGAATTGACATGGACTGATCAAATCTGAAATGCAGCTCCTAAGTCTCCTTGACAGACATTTAGAGAGGATCTTGTACAAACCACCAACTAAGCTAATAGGTCTAAAATCGTCCAAACCGCCAATGTTTGAAATTTTCGGAATAAGAGTGATGAAAGTGTGATTTATTCCATGTTCCCAATCCTTCCCCAAGTAAAACTTCTTAAAGAAGATCATAATATCTTCCTTAAGGACCTGCCAAAACCTCTTGAAAAACCCATATTAAAGCCATCGGACCCGGAGCTTTGTTACTTCCATAAGACTTCACAACATCCCAAACTTCCTCCTCTGAAAATTCCTGCTCTAAGAACTGATTCTGCTCCAAAGAAATTCTGGAAAAATCCAGATTTAATTCATCAATTTCTAGAGTAGATCGGTTATTGTAGATCTTAAAAAAATAATCCTTCACAATGTCCTTAATAGCAATTGGGTCTTCAACTATTTCTCCTCTAAAATTAAGTGCCACCAGTGCATTCCTCTTCTTCCTAACCGTAGCACAGGTATGGAAGTATTTAGTGTTGCGGTCCCCGTCTTCAATCCATTTAGATCTCGAATACTGAAACCAAATCTGCTCTTGGATCTTGTGCAGCTTCTACAATTCTGCTCTACAATTATTCAACTCAGTTAATACCTCACTATCGACAGCACCCTGCTTTTGTTGAATATCAGCCTCTATCTTCGAAATTTTCTTATCTAACTCAGAAATCAAGTCTCCTGGATACTTATCTCTGTTTCCAGACCACTTTTTAATTGCATGTTTGGCACTCCTTAAAAGACTAAAAGCACCTGCCTTCTTCTGACTTTTCTTAGAACTCTGAATAGAAGAAATAACCATATCCTCAAAACCCTCCTCATCCATCAAATAGTTGAACATTCTAAACGGTTTTTGACCCCAGTCCACTCCTTTATTCACAAGAATTATGGCATTGTGATCTGACAATGATCTTGGTAGAAGATACTGTAAAATGTCCGGAAATAACGCTAGAAATTGACTGTCAACCAAAAAACGATCTAATCTTACAAACGTGGGATTCTCTTGGTTATTACACCAAGTGAACCTTCCCCCATTCATAGGAAGATCAATTAAGCCCGTATGAAGAATGAAGTCATTAAAGATCTCCATTGAGCTCCTACTTTGGCCTCTGCCCATCTTCTCATTTTCTTGTAAATAAACATTGAAGTCCCCTCCCACACAAACGGGAAAATTCTGTCCACTAAGAAAACTGCTTAATTCTTCAAAAAAACCAGCTTTCTCTTCCTCCACTGCTGGACCGTATACATTAATGAAACCACAACTGAAGTTTTTATTCCGGAATTTACCAAAGGTAGCTATAAATCTCCTACTAATAAACTGACTCTCCAACTCAAAGATATTGTCATCCCAACAACACAACAAGCCCCCCGCTGATCCAACTGAAGGAGATTCCAAAACTCCTTTAAGCTTATTAATCCCACTTCTCCTAAAGAAAGACCTCTTAAATTTTTCAGTCTTAGTTTCTTGCAACCAAAGGAAAGTAGGATTTAAGCTAGTGACTAAATTCTGAACAGCCCTCTTTTTTTCATTTTTCCCCAGACCCCTAACATTCCATGAACATATTACTAACTTTGACATCTTCATAAAGGGAACAAGGTACAAACAAAACCCTCAATCAACCAAACCTTGATTAATCCCAATCAAGCCTTTCTCTAGAGCTATGATTTTTTCCAAAAATGCTTCTTTCCCTTCCTTAAAAGATACTCCCAAAAGCTTACTAACCTCCCAAGTTTCTACAGCTTCTTTCAATAAACTCGAGAAAGCTGAGGAGGATGTTGTATCAATGCTCACCTGGTCAAGAGCTTCTCGAAACAGGATCCTTCTAGCTCTCCTCTTCCTTCTAATTAACAAACCAGATTTGGGTCTTAAGCATTCACCTTCAGAACAGTAACCTTCAATCTCCCGCTCTACGGTCCCATCCCCAAGACCATTAACAAAGCTAGGAAGAAGACTCCCATCAGCAATGAGCTCTGTTGAAAAACAAATCTGTTTTGCAGTGCTGGAGTCCACATCCAACTTCCTCTGCCCAACCTTGGTGCCACCTATTTCATTCGTAAAGTTCAACAAATCTCCATACCAATATCTTCTATCCCTCGACCTGCTATAGACCCTTTTGCAACTGCTCAAACTTCTAGTTTCCAGCACCTCACTCTCAGATGAGACCTTTCTTCTAGAACGGTGTAACTGTCTCCCCCTTGAGATGTTTCCTAAATTAGTTGTAACCGGTTCAACCAACCTTAAACTTTCTTCTTCAGCCTCTATTTCTGCATTAACCACCTTCTCTGTAATTGGGCTCTTCTCCAATACTTTAAACGTTTTCCTGTTTTTTCCATCTAAATTAAGGTTCTCCACAAAATCCCCAAACTTATTAACTATATATGCTGGCCCAGAAATGAAACCCGAAAAATCTTTTGACCCAGACTGCCCAGAGTCTTCAGAATGGGCCTGAGACCCATCAGCCGAATAATGTTGACTTCTAATCCCCAAACCTGCAAACTCACCAACTTTTAAACTCCCAACCTTTTGACTTTCTGGCAGACTACATTTAATACCTTTCCTATCTAAGGGAAGCCTTGCTAGCTGTCTATTCTCACTAACTCCTCCAGAACCACTGAACACACCCTGCTCAATCCAATTGTCCACTGACAGACGATTTTTCCTTGCTGCACATGCCTCTCCTTCCCCATGATCTGACAACAACCTGTCTACATCCTCCTCAGACCTAATTTCTTCAGAAAATGCCTCATCGGAATCCTCCACCGGAAAATTACTGAAAAACGAACTTGAATACTCACTTGCTGATCCAATCTTAATACTTACTTTGAATGATCTTCCATAAGATCCAAGAGTGATCACCTCTGGAACATCAAAGGGGCTTTCCACCCTCAATAAAATTCTTGCCATTGTAAGGTCTTCTCTTTTCCTTGTACTCTCATGAATACCTACCACTTTGCCCCATCTCCCAGCCATTTTCTCGAAGAAAGATTCATTCCAGCATAACAAAGGAACCCCTATTAATTCTGCCATGCAGAAGGCCATGGGAACTCCGGCCTCATTCAGTAAAGGTTCCACTCGTTCAAACCACTGTTTTAAAACCTCTTCCTTTTTGCTCCATAAATCCAGCATCTCCTCATGGGAATTGAGAACTAAAACGCAAGAGTTCCAAACATAACCCCATCTAGCAATTTGAACATCATAGCCTTCCTTAAATAAGGCATTCCGAATGAACTCAACTTGAAACGAGTATTTGATAATCCCTGTTAACGACCTCTTCACCCAATTGGCACTTTCTGATGGAATATGCATCTCCATAATGTTTTTCTTGACATTCCTCCTTTGGACATCCTCAGACAATAGTTCTTTGTACCCCCTTGTAATCCCATTTGACATCAGAGCATCCCTATAAGTTCTATCGTCCCTTCTACTTCTGATAATATTTTCTCTTTCTCTTGATTTCGAAGAATCTGCAAAAATCTGACCAGAAGCCTCGTTTGAAGAAGTAAGCACCACTCCTCATATGTATCAATACAACAATCCTTGCTTAATCTCTCCTCCTCTTGATCCAGCCCACTCCTCATATGTATTTTCGGGCCCCTATAAAGCCCGATTTCGCAGTCAACTTTTTCATGCTCAATGGAAGCACTACCCAGACTTTTCCCATTTTCTCTCCCTTCATTAACTTCTTCTGACTTTTCCTGCTCGATGGAGACATCACCTACCTCTGTCACATCTTTGCACAAGTCAAACGTATTTTCCATACCTATGTTTAAATTCAAACCCCCCTTGGTATTTGTGTGTTTGCCTTGATGGGAACTTCTAACCCATTCCTCAACCCTATTCTGCTGATCTGACAACTCTTTTAATCCCACCTGCTCTTCATGCCGATTCTTCAATTCTTCATTGCTCCAATCCGAAGAGCTATCCTCCCATGGTTCCTCTGCAACTTCTTCTGCCTCCATGTCAGTTAACTCGGGAAAAAAATCCTCAGCACCGTCAACTTTAATTTTAATCATGAACTTTCTCCCATACGTATTGATGATGATCTGTTCTGGAATGTCAAATGGACTCTCAACCCTAAGTAGCAACTGCGCCACTCTACAATCCACTCTATGGGCAGTTGATCTTGAATTTTCACTAACTTTCCCCATCTGGATGCTAAGTTAGAAAAGAACGGTATAAACCAACAATTTAATGGGACACCAATCATTGAAATTGCACAATAAGCTAATGGGATGTCCCCCTCCTCCACCACCGGCTCCAATATTTCAAACCAGAACGTCAGAGCTTCCCATTGTTCTTCCATTGCAATTTTCTCTCTTCAACCGACTGAAACACTACCAGACACGCATTCTTCGCACATCCCCACCTTATCACCTTAACCTTGAAGCCCTCATTCCGTAAGGCTTTCTGCACGAATTCTACTTCGAAAATATCTTTGCAAATGCCAGTAAGTGATGATTTCAACCATAATCTCTCTTCCACCGGGATAAAGACTTCCAAAGATTTCTTCTCCTCCTTAGTATTCCTTTGATTGCTTACTTGACTCTCTAGAACTTTTTTCACCCCAACTACCGTATCTCTATAAGTTCTTCCATCAAGGAACTTACTCATCCGTTCCATTTTCTCTTTCACTTGTGCTGGAGAAGTCCTTCTGCCTTCCAACTCTCCTGTTTCTACCCTTTTGGAGCCCTCCTCTCTCTTTCACGATTCTTCAACTCGGATAACTTATCATATTTAGCTACTGACACAGAAATTATCCTCCCGTCAACCCTGACGTTATTCATCTTCTCCACCGCATTACACAGATCCTTGCTTGCAAAATGGACGAACGCAAACGTACAATCCTTGTATTTCGGTCTATTGTTAATAAAGGGAATAAACACCCTAATAACTTTACCATGATAACTAAAATGTTCCCCTAATGTTCTTCTGCTCACTCTCCTACTAAGATTATCAACGAACGCAGACCAAGTACCCCCTCCAAGAAACTATCTTTGCCATCAGGATATCTGCACTCTCGCTCTCTCCATATTTCTGCTATATATTGATATTGATCAATATACCCTTGAATGTTAGAAGGCAACTTCAGCTCAGAATCGACCTTACCAAGCCACAAGAAAACGGATTGATCCAAGTAAAAATGCTATCTTTTTTTTTCCTATGCAGGGGGAGGGGCAGCTTAGTAAAACATGATGATACATTTGGCTTCTTAGTACCGTTTTGACTCACTCCAAAACAATTATATAAAGTCAACGTTAGCAATAATTACAAATATAAACACCGTATTATAGATCTTTTAGCTTACCAATTTGTGAAGCAGGTCAGGTTGTTCACCAAAAAGGTCAGGCAAATGCCTTTTCATAGCCTCTCCAGTTTTGAAGCATGCTTCCCAGGGACACCATACCATATTTTTGGAGCACCCCAACGCATATAATTCAGTGAGTATAGGTGGTGATCTTCAACATGCCAGACCCATCCACATAAAACAAATGGCAAAAGAATAGCAATATTAGCACCCTCTGGTCATCCTTATATTGTCATGTGTGAGTAATGACCTTAAATGGGACTTCAATAACTCAAAAGTTCAAAAGAACCATTTGTTGGCTAACCCAAAAATTTCTGCACTGTGGGCCAGATGGCATAATAAATTCATCCAGGGTTTCACATAAGTACCATCCTGGAATCACTTTCCAGGCAAAACTACCCCTTAACTATTCTTATTGTTCCAAATTGCAATCACACTTAACTATTCTTATTATTCCGAATTGCAGTCACACGACTTATGGGAGAATCAAATGGGGTAACAAGTCACCCAAACAAAATAAATAGACATGAATTTCAATTTTCACATGCTAGACTAACACAAAATTATCAGAGAATACTAGAGCCAAGTTCAACTCATGCAAGGGGAACGGAAGTTAATAGCCATAGAAGTCTTACCCAACAAAAAGTTAGGCTAACACAATATCAGAGTTCGACTCGTATTACAAGGGGGAAGGAAGTTCATAGCCATAGAAGTCTTACCCAACAAAAGGATGAAAAGCACATTCCTACATACAACCAGGGAACCAGAACCCCTGAAATATCACTTCTTTCATAGTTGAGAACAGATCCAGGAAGCCTGGGGAAGTTATTCACGTTCCAGCCAGATTTTATGTACTTCTCACTGGATGCAAATCCAACTTGACTGGACTTATTAGGAAACCCACTGCCAAATACCCCAGTTTCCAGATCAGCCCATATAAGACCTAAACAAGAAAAGGAGTATAAGAATTAGCAACTCCACTTTGCAACTGGTTTAAAGAGAAAGAAAGATAAGAAAACAACTGGAGTTTGATTGGTCTAGTTGGAATGTAAAAAAAAACAGTTTGTTGGTGTGAGGTTTTCTAAAATACTTTATCAGAATGAAATTGTTTGAATTAACTATGAACAAGTTTCTTGTCCATTTGAAACTTCATTGACTTTGTCTATCAGCTTCTCCTAGTGACACTTCCTAGAATCTCCCATTTAGAACTTCCTAGTCTCCAAAAACTCATTTCAGCTTTTTTGAAAAGCTATAAAAAAAAGGTTTTGTCAAACTCCGTTTTGGTCCAACCATAGCTTCCTGGAGCAGGAAAGTTACTTCAATAGCTCTGGCTATCCAGCGCTAAGTAAATTAATCAACAGAAAGGAAGGAGAATTTTCCGAACGCACAAATCTTACCTCTATTTCCTCGGTTGCTTTCTCCACAATGCGCCAGTATTCACCCTCAATATTCTCAACTGAAGGTCCATGGTGCTCTGGAAGAATGGTCATTTTACCTTTCATATCTACATTGTTTTCCTTTCTCTTAAAGTATTGGACCTTGAAATCATCGGCATACTTATGAAACTTATCCAGAGTAAACTATGGACCAGGTTCAAACCCAAACCTCTCTACTTCACAAAATCCAGCATCAGAAGACCATGAGATATTTCCACCCATGAGATATTTCCACTATCAGACCCACAGTCTACAGCCATTCTCATGCATCTTCTCCTTTCCCTCCTCATATTGTTATTAACTTTTGACATTTTTCTCATTGAACCACGATTCTAAAGCTTGTCAACCCTCTGCACACGCGTAGCAAATCTAGAATTTTCCCATATATTCTTTTCTTTTAGAGGACAAGGAGGCTTCCAAGAAGATGGAGGAACAATGCGACAGATTCCAAATTGTTCTGCTTTTGGTCGTATGCTAGCTATATACTTCAAAGTATCTTCAAACTCCTGCGGGAACATTATAAAACCAGATAAGATATTCAATTCTATAATGCGGAACTGCAGATATGACCAGTAACAACCATGGGAGGCAAATTATGATAATCAAGCAACTCAAATATTATAAGCAACATTAAAAACCTTTTCTGTTGGATAGAACACAGGTGCATCCACAATGCCCGGTCTACATGCTGCTTCTGGATGCCATCTTGCAGTTACCTGTTCCACCACATTACATATCAATGAAATATATTGAAGACAATGATTAGAAAGGGAGAATATTATATCAACTATACACTCTGAATTGCATTGCCTAGCTCCTTCATAGGAACTTCTGTTCCCGTTATTGTCACTTTAAGCTACATTACGATTAGCCATCATTTAACCCTGCCAAAAACTTAACAAGGCATTTCTAAGTAATTCTTACATCTACAATGTTGTTACTATAGAGGATAAATATAACAACAGTATTGTAAAAAATGACAGTAGAGGAGCAGTGCTGCCTGAGGCAGATCATGAAACATTTAAAAAGTTTACGAAACTAGGAAAGAACAAAAGAAGTTGAAAAATTAACCTTTTGGCAATCATTACACTCTGGACACCCACGGATAATGCCTTTAGGAAGGTTATGTCTCAATCTTTGATTCTGCAAAAATGAATGACATATAACTACGAAGATGTAGAATTGACATAGTGACGATAGCATAATGTTTTGCTAAAATTTCCAATACCAGCATCCAAAACTATAAAATGAAACAACTTTTTCAACACAAAGAAAAGAAAACAGAAGGTTCAACAAATAATTACAAGAGCAGAAAGAAGTTTCAACAAATAAATTACAAGAAAATAAGAAATTAACTTGGTCAAGCTTTCCACAATCAGGCTCTTCAGCTGAACTGCTATCATATACACCATAGTTTACCCCAGGTTTTCGCCTCAGAGATCTCGTGATCTTTGTTCTTTCATTAATTCCCAATTCAGGCTCCTTTGAGGCAGAACTAGCATCAGAACTACTTGCAGTTGCAGAGGCAGAACAATAATTTTCATTATCTCTCTCGTGTTTTACAGAATCTTGTGCCCCCCTTGTTAACGTAAGAGATGCATATGACTCAAAACCTGGCGGAACTGAGGGGAAATCATCGTTCTCTTCTTTAACACAAACTCTCATAAATTCTGTCCCCATCTGTATTGCTACACAACAATAAATGACACGTAAAACACTACATTCTGTATCTGGAAAAGAAACAGATGAACACAAAACAGGCCTACCTTAAAATTGAAGAATCAATCCAGCAGCCCAACATCCAAACTATAATTCTGAACTGCTGTAAGAAGAATTTTTATCTACACATAATATAAAGCAAGTATTAAGAAAACAAATAGATGAAACTAATTCAAAAGCGTCATTCAATCAAACCATTATGTTCTCATGGACTCAGCATGAAACATATCACACTGCAATATTCGTTACAATAAATTTTCAAGCTGTCCCCAGAAAACCACAATTCAGTAAGTTCAAGAAGAAACGAGGATGATAAGAACCCAGGATGAATATATTCCAGCGTATTTGAGTCCAATAACTGCTTATGATCCTTGATAAGACATTTCCAGACTATTCTCAGATGATAGAGCAAGAGAGAGATGCCAAATAAGCTTTATCCTTATTGCTTGTATAAGTTTAATTCTCGCCATGTTCGTAAAGATCAATGCTAAAGTATGCTGCCAAGCCTAGCAGTTCGATGCATGAAAAATGTCCTTTGACTCATGCATACAACAATTCCCCAAATCCTAGAATCATGCCGTAGATAATAGACAAAGAAACACAAATATAGTTTTGTATCTAAACACCTAAAGTTACCCAAAAAAACGGTGATGCATTCGATAAAGCCCCTGATCGAATTACTAAAATAGCCTGATTAGGTGAAGCAACAAGACTAATGCCTTCTCATTTTCTATTTTCTTGATTAAAACCAAGGAAGTAATGATGCAGTTGAAATCTAAGTAATTTAATGACTTTCAAAATCATGATTCCTTGAATGTGTAATGTTGCAATCAAAATTCTGAAAAACACTGCTTCTAGAAAGTTCAATATAACAATAAAATAACAGATCGCAAGCCCTCCTTGGATCAGAAAATTGTTCTTCCACAAAAATCATCAACTGTAACATCAAAAAATTCACATGCAACAAATAAGATCGAATATCAACGTCATCAACATATTTTTCAACTTCTTTTTTTATATGGAATAAACTCAGGAGACTGAAACAGAATTTATGATACCTAAATGTCTAGCAAAATCCATGATCATCATGCATCACTTTCTCAATCGATTAAAACAGCTCTAAACCCTAAAAGATCACAAACATTTTATTTGATCGATAAAAAATTATGAAATAAAATAAAGCCCTTAAAATTCTAGGTTACTATTTTATAGTTATCATCTGAAAAAAAATGCAAGCAAAAAATCCCCAATAAATATATTAAAAAAACTATTAAGTTCAAAAAAATGGAGCTTACATGATCCAAAAGATATATGTAATTTGACTTCACTTTAACAGCTCAAAAAAACTCCTTTTGACAACACCAATGTTTCATGTAAAAAATATGAAAAATCATGAAATTTTTTTCCTAAATTTGAAACCATAATAAAAATAAAAATTATAAAGTGGAAACAAATCACAAAATTGAATCTGATTTTAAACAGATCTAAACCCAACTCTGACCCTAAAACACCACATAGCAACACACATAAAAAAATCAAAATCAACAGAAAAAAAAAGAATTTGCTATTTTTATCATATAATAATATTTTTTTCTAAAATTTATAGTTTTACAAGGGAACCCCGCAAATCCAAATATATGACCATCAAAACCCCTACCTTCAAAATAAAATCTTAACAGAGAATAATTCCATGAAAACGGAGTGAAGATGATAAGGGTAAATACGAAGATTAATTAATTCACAATACAAGAAATAATAGATTTTAATAAAAAATTACAATTAATTTGTTTCATTGTTTTTGTTGGGTTTTTATGAAGCAATTGAAAGCATAAAAGGTGTTTACTTTTCTGATAGGGGTAATTTGGGGAAATGGAAGGATAATGTGATTTTTTTTTCTTTTTTTGGAAAAGTTGGAAATAATAATTAATTGATTGAATTAACCTGTGGGATGCTTTTTTTTTTCTCTCAACGGACGCCATCTGGAATGAATAATAGAGGTTTCATACTGGCATCAACTAATGTATGGACCGACCACTTCTATACGATTCATTTATTTATTTATTAGATTTTAATTTAAATATATATATATCAAAGGACTTTATCGATAAAAAATATTATTTTTTTGAGATTCTAGATTCAAATTAAGGGCATAAATGAACGGTGCGTTCGGTAAACCGTTCGTTTATATTTGTTTATTAAGTTAAATAAATGAGTATGAATAAAATTTTTATGTTAGTTTAATAAACGAACGAACACGAACAGAGATGTGTTCGATTCGTTTATGTTCACGAACAAGTTCGTTTATTGACTCGTTTATTTATATTCATGAAAAAATTCATTTATCCGGTTCTCCTTTTTCTTTTTCTTTTTTTACATTTTAAATATTAGTGAAGGTAGGGACTAAATTGAACATAAAGTAAAAATTGAAATTTAAACTATTAATTTAAGGAATTTAAGTATTAATGGTGTAATTTTATCATTTTTATTAGTTTGCATATGAAAGAGTAAAACTAAAAATTGAACATATAAACTAACATAATTATGAACGCTAAATGAACATACAAACAAATATGTTCGCGAATATTAAACGAACATATTTGTGAACAATAAATAAACGAATACGAACACCTTTAAAATAAATAAAAATGAACACTAACATGATATTAAAAAATTAAACGAACACGAACCGAACATGAACATGAACACATTCAAAAATAAACATACAAATATGAACATAATTGTAGACACCAATTTTCGTCTATTATATATATATATATATATATATATTATATGGTTTGAAATCATTTTAAAAATTATACTATGGGTTTTTTTAAATATTTTTAAAATATATAATATATAATTTTTGAAAATATTTTTAAAAATATATATTATATTGTTTTGAAAACTTTTTTTAAGATATATATAATATATAGTTTTTAAAAACATTTTTAAAAAATATATATTATATAGTTTTGAAAATTAGTTTTTAAAAATATATATTATATAGTTTTGAAGATTAGTTTTTAAAATATATATATATTATATAGTTTTGAAAATTAGTTATAAAAATATATATATTATATAGTTTTGAAAATTATTTTTAAAAAATATATATTATATGGTTTTGAAAATTATTTTTTAAAAACATATATTGTATAGTTTTAAAAATGTTTTTTATTGTATTTATTTATTTATTATTATTATTATTATTTTATTTTTAATTTTTTATTTTTAATTTTTAATTTTATTTATTATTTATTACTTATTATTTTTTTCTTTTTTCTCGTTTTAGGTCCAATGTCCAATCCAATATGTTCAAAGCGTTCGGGTTCAGCATCAGCTAAGTGGGCCTGAACTAGCCCAAGACCATTAGGGTATGAAAAACCCTAACATAACCAGTTAACAATGCCGCAAGGGAGCAAACCAATGGCCAACGCGTTTTTCAGCCGCTTCAACAGGACTGAACCATCCCGAGGCGACCGGTGTAACATGCACGAAGATCTCGGTCAACCAACAACCACGATCCCGAGATCGTCGAGACCCAAAACGGCCAAAACCGAGCTATAAAAGCCTCGGGGGGACACCGATTATCAGAAAAAGAGAA